GTGTGATACCTGGCCATCATTTGGGACTGAACCAGCTGATATTAACTTGCACTGACAAGGGGCAGGCTTGTTTTCTAATCACTGAGAGAGTTCAGCTGGTGTCTTGGCTTTCCATGCCTTTTTACACCTCCCTTTCTTCATGTGTTCAATACTTTTTCCCTGTGTCATTCCACATTATTACAAATAACTTCATTTCTGGACATTTATGGTTTGATTTCTTTGTATGTATGGATCACTTSGRTTGTTACCRACATCTGGTGAAAATTTCATGTCATTAGCACCTCTAGTAATATATTTACTGAGAAAAATGGTGACGTGTTCAATACTTATTTTACCCGCTGTAGGTTCTGTGACCAAAACTGCAACAGGCCTTGTAGAGATGTACTGCTTGTGTTTATTTTTTAAATTTTATTATTATTTATTTCTTCCAGAGTTTCTATAATCTCTTTGTACTCCGTTGAGCTTGTGACCAGGCCAGTTATAGCATAAACTCCACAAATGACCTTTTTTTGTTTAACTTTTCTAATTATTTCTTCATTTTTTTCAGAAAGAAAAGCCAATACATTAGGTAGCTTTGCTCCTCCAAATGAATTCCTAATTTGAAGTAAATCACAGGGTTCGTGTACAATGGGGGCAGCTTGGTGGTGCAGTGGTTAGAGCTGACAGTGTGTCGAGTTTGCACATTCTTCTTGTGCACACGTGGGTTTCTTCAGGTACTCATGGTTTTCTCCCACAGCCCAAAGCGTGAGTGAAATCATGAATATATGTATGTTTGTCTTTTTGTGTCTCTTTGATAGACATGCAACCTGTCCATAGAGGAGCATACTTTCATACCTTACAGCTGGTAGTTTCACACTCACAATGCGATTAAAACAAGAAGGCTCTATAGAACAGCAGGAGTGAGTCGACCATGTGATCTACTGTAGAAGCTACAGGTCTAAGCAGAACAGCAAGGGTCTGGATTTACCATTACTGTACATGTTGGCAACATAAAGGGGAAAAAAGGACTGACAACGTAGAAATCATAAAAACTATTCATATGAACAAAATTGTTAATAATATTTTAGCGTATATAATCTATCTAATGTTTTAAAAATACCAGAACGCTGTCTGTTATGGATTTACCAACAGAAGAGAAGCAGGAAAATGTTTCTCCTTTCACTCCTTTTACCTCAATGTGATCTGACCAGAACTGAAGCTGATAATGTAAAAGTTTAAATTATAATAAGCTTATAAAGTCGATGTAATCACTGTTAATTATTAAATTGGTTAGCAGATATTAGCTTCTGTAACATATTGTTATACAGAATGTAGTACTCTGCTGAGTCATGCTACAATTTAACAAATAATAATAATAATAATAATAATAATAATAATAATAATGCATTAGTCTTATAAAGCACTTTTTGAGACCCTCAAAGACGCTTTTACAATTTTTCATACATCATTCATTCACACTCACATTCACACACTGATGATAGTAAGCTACACTGTGGCCACAGCTGCCCTGGAGCACACTGACAAAGGCGAGGCTGCCGCAGGCGCCACTGGACCCTCTGACCACCATCAGTAGGCAAGGTGGGTGAAGTGTCTTGCCCAAGGACACAACAACTGAGGTGGCTGGACTGGGGATCGAGCCCGCGACCTTCCGGTTCCAGGTTGACTCCCCTAACCACTCTACCACAGCCGCACCCCAAAAAATTAAACATTACAAAGTGATTTTGCCTCTAATTTATGTAATATTTAGATAGTGTAAAATAATGTTATATATTTACCCATTTTAACTATTTTAGGTTTCTGTTAGACAAACCTGACCTGTTGGGTTAGTTAATATAAAGAGACAAGTTTCACATTAACACATCACCAAGTATCGACTGTTAAATAATAATTATTATTATTTATGACAGGTAAAAAATTAAAAAAATACCTTATTAGTTGAAGTCATAATCTTTCAACCAGCTATAAGTTTAAATTGACTGACATCCGGTCTGGTGTTGATCATTGTTATTTATAAACTGGAGAAATGTCATTTCCTGCGAAAATGCAGTGTGAATGCTCATTACTGAGTAATTTAGCTGAAAACTGTTGAGGACATTGAAATATTTTCAAATGCTGAACTAATTGTTCTTGCTGAATTAAAATAGCTGAATGTGCTGAATAACCAAAAATGTGGCAGCTGAAAAACACAGAAATATGCAAACAAAAAGCAAAAGGAGATGAAACACAGCTGAAAGTGGCAGAAAATCTGAGGAGAGCAGAAAAAAGTGAAATGAAGAAGAAACATTTAAAGTAAGAAACGTTTAAAGTAGTAGAAGAAGAAGTAGAAATTAGCACATGAATAGCAGGAAAGGTTAGAACAATAGCTAAAAAAGGCAGAAAAAAGCTTAAATTAGCAAAAAGAAGCTGAAGTAAGTTGAAATCAGCAGATAAGTTAAAAAAGGCAGAACCAAAACAAACGGTAAACAGTACAGTAAAGATTTATGAACAGTTTGGGTTTGAAGAAGGTTGAAGACAGCTCAGTTCATTTTTAATAAGAAAAAATGGCTAAAAGATTCCCAAAAGTATAAATTGCTGAAGTACCAAAAGTCATAGCTGGAATGTTTTGAAGGAGCTGAATGTTGGTTAAATCACCATAAAAATTACTAAAAGAGATGTGTGCCGAAAAATGTATGGAAGAATAAATTGATCTAAATTGTGCTTGATCAGCATTCACACAATTATATATGTTTCTGGTATAAATCTGCTGTTTTACATGATTGTTGAATGAGATAAACATAAATAATAAGTTATTGTAAAACATATTACACATAATTTGTGACACAGTTGGGCTTGCTGTTAATCTAATTGTTGCTATGAGAGCTGTGTTCGGTCACAGTTTTTGCTTCTCCATGTCGTCACACATGCTAACGGTGGACGGGATAGGCTGGGCTCAGTCTGTGGTATTATAGGTTATACATAAATTCAGCTTTGAGAGATGAGAATATCATGAAATAAGATGACAAGATGCTGGAAGTCATAACAAACACAAAGGGCAGCAAAAATATTTTACTATGGGCTGTTATATCATATTTTATACCACAACTTACCATATTAAATACATTCCACCAAAATAATTTGATTTGAGTTCAGTGCTGCTGAAACCTAAAGAGACAGTGATCAGTATTATAGTGAGTTTCCTTGAGGTCATTATTATTATTAATATTAAAATTCACTTCTACTTGGAGCAAAATGTCTGTAATATTCAGAAAAGGTTCATGTGTGAAGACGGCCTGCTCATGTGTTTATGTGTGTGTAGAAGTCCTTTACGATTTTTAAAATCACATGTTGAACCAGCCTTAAGATGTGAGGGAGCAAACTTACAAGTATGTTTAATAATTTAACTCTGAAGGCCAAATGCAGTGAGGTTGTGGGCTGACCATGGCCCACAGCCCACCAGATAACAAGAACTGATGTAAGCCAATTGATATCTAAAAATAAAACTTAAATAACTAAAATGTCTTTAGTGTCTTTTAATATTATAAAAAATATCCAAACAAAAAAATACAAAGATATAATTATATAATAAAAATAAAAGTAACACAATGAGCTTCAATACGATCTGATAAAACTGAATGCTAAACGTGAAATCTTCAGTTGTTCCTAAAGGAATTCACTGAATTTAAAGGAAACCAGTTCACAGCAATTTGTGTTTTCTCCTCATTCTTAGAGAACATTTGCACATTTTACATACCTTTGCTGGATAAAGACATTATTAGATTTAAAAGTAATAGAAATAAATAAGAATTGCGATAAATTAAAGCAACATAACCTTCATGAAAAACAAGTGAAAAAATGTCTGATAATCAGCAGGACAGAAATTTAAGGGCGAGAGGGGGAATGTTTCATTGGGAAAAGATCCCTGTTCAACTTTGGTCAAATTTTGGTCTTAATTATACAAACAAACAAACAAACAAACAAAAACTGCAACCAAATCTTTGAAAAGTCCCATCTCATATTTCAGAAAGTGAATCGAACCTTTTGACCAAATGTCAAAGGACACATCTTTAGAAGTCACTCTGTACAAAAGTGAATATCATCTTGTTCAACTATGTGATGGGTTTTTTTTTTGTTTGTTTGTTTATTTTTTTTTATTATTTTTTTTTGCAGGGGGTGGTAGTGTGGGTGGGGGGGGGTAAAGGCTTCTTGGCGATGGGGCTAAATTTGAAAGCACTAAGTGTTTGTTGGCTGAGGGTGTGGTGTGAAAGCAGTGAGGTCAGGGTCAACAGCACTTGAACTTTCCACTGATCATGGGAGGGTGGCGCTATCATAATCAGAGCAAAGGTCTCTAAAGGCGTGTAGGTGGAGACCTTCAAAGTGCAGGGGGCCTCCGGCGATGATGTGACAGCTTCCTGTTTACCCCTGAGCGGCCCTTCTTCTTCTCTTCTCCTCTGTCATCTCCTCTCATAAGATACGGCGAATTAAAGAACAACTGAGGGAGCGGGTTCAGTCTGAATCCAGTTATCTCTGCCGCCCCGCCACCCTGCGTGTCACTCGGACCGTCTCCATCCTCCCCTGTCTCCTTGTGCCACGTCCACCTCTGCCTCTTGTCTTTTTAAGTTCTTTAAACCTTCACACCACAGAGCTTTTTTAGTTTCAGGCTTAAGGACATCTTTAAAAACTGAAAATAAGAAAATGTGTGTTCATTTTAGTCTAGGTACAGTGTCCACTGACCTTTTATTAACCGTCAGAGTCATCATTAGCTTTTTTTGTTGAGCAATAACAGCAGCACACAAGCACCTTCTACAGGAAGTAACTCAGCTAACAGCAGCAGTTTCCTTTCAGCTTCCACTAAACATAAATAGGCGGTAGTCAGCTCTGACAGGCTATGTGTTCAGATTAAAGGAGGAAGTGCTCTGCAGTAGTTCAATGCTTCTGATGTTTTGGTCTGGATGCCACAGCTTGACTTGTCAGGCTGTATGACACACAGAGGTATCATATAGAGACGTGTTTGTGTTTGACAGCCCGATCCAAGAGTGTGTTTCCTGGGGACGGGGGCCCCGGACCAGGCTTTCCGCGCTCCTCCAGGTCCATGGAGAGGCCACTGAAGGCCGGCTGGCTGAAGAAACAGCAGAGGTCTTTGGTGAAGAACTGGCAGCAGCGCTACTTTGTGCTGAGAGGAAGCACTCTGACTTATTACAAAGATGACAAGGAGACCACAGTCCAGGTGAGCCCCCCCATTCAGGACGACCACCTTACACCTTGTTTTTCTACTTCGGAACATATTCTGTTTGTCACAAAACAACGATTAGAACATGACTTACATGTGAGGACAGACTCCAGTCTTTTTCATATATGTCACATACTTAATCTCTCTTTTCAGCAATGGTTATGTGTCTAAAATATCAACTGTCATAAGCATCTTAAGGGAATATGATTATATTAATATAGAGAAGTTTTAAAAAGTATTTTATTTTTTCTACACCACAAACTCTCCTAGCTGTGTGGCTAACGCTGCACACTTCCTGCACACACACAAACGGATGCATGGGAGGTTTTATCAGTCATGCAAACATAAGAAGCAATGGTGTTTGTTAACTTGTTGTACATCTATGTGAGAAGGAAATATTGTTAGCAAAACCCCCTAAAAAGTGATGTTCAGATGACCAAAGAAGTGTCAGCACAGTTGGATATCAGGATTTATAGGCCTGCTTTACCAAACGCCAAATCACCAGTTCTACTGATCGTAGCATCTGCTTCAGTATGCTGATATTTAATTATAAACCATTTACAGCAAAACACGCTTTCAGCATTTCATTCCTTCTGACTCCACCCAAGCAGCAACAGATTGCTTAATAGTTAGACTGACCAGGAGGTCAGATCATCATGGTCCCTCTGTCAGCAGATTTAACACAAGGGCAGAAAAATTTGATACAAACGCTGCAGAACCACAGAACTAATGACCCTCTAGCAAATCACACTTCAGTGCTGCTGACATTTACTTACTGTCACACTTTAGCACATCACAACCCACAACACAACAACACAACAAAGTACCACCACTGCTTAATGCACAGACAGTTTTACTTTGAGACTTTCCACACTGAAAACTCCTCTGTGAATATTAGTCATTCAAAATAAAGTGTATTATTTGACCATCTGTCCACACTTGGTTAGATAATAATAATAATTCAGTTCAGGATTGTTTTATTCTATACTGCAGACCAGCTTTAAAATGATTCTTGAATCTTTATCCAGATCTTACATTTTTTTCACCCATCATCAATGATGTTTGTCACCAGTTTGCCCTTAAGGTAAATCCACCAGGAAGCAGTTCTTTCCTCTTTGTCCCGACCACAGCAAACATGAACATAAAGCATGAGTGCTATATAYTGTCATCATTGTGTGTCCCCACACAATGATGCACACATCTGCATTTGACACATCTCATGTTATGCAATCAAGTGCTGCAGTGGGCTATGCAAGCACCCAGGGAGCAGTTAGGGATTGGGTGTCTTGCTCAAGGACACCATGAAATGTGGGAATGAATGGGAAGCAAACCTGCAACTTTTTTTGGTCCTATTTATCTAATTTCCCTCTGGKATCAATAAAGTATTTTAGAATTGAATTGAATTTCAGCTGCCCAAACACTGCGCCACAGCCGCTTCAGTTGCTCACCATGGCTGTGGTTATAGAGCTGAATTATAAATAAAATAAATGAAATATTAAAAATCTGTGGTTTACTTGTTTAAAACAGAGAATTGCAAAGTTGGAATGTAATTACTGGATATCTGTCAGTGTTTCACAGATATTTTATGCTCACTGTCAACATTTATTTTACACAACCCCTGGTTCATTCTCCCTATTTTATTTGCTCCTCAGAACAAACAGGTAATACCACTCACACTGAAACTTTTTCACTACTGGATCATTTTTTCTTTCAAAGTCACAGAGCAGATTTTTAATACATTTTATGATCATGAACTATAGACTTTATAAAGTCTGCTAACAGAGCAATAAAGCTTCAACAATTAAAATCTGATATTTTTAGACTTATTTTGARTCTTTTGCTCAGTAACACAAACTGATTACAGACTATTTGCATTAATGTTCCCTTGCTGGTCAGGTTACAGGAAAACATATTTTGCTTTAAACTGTTTTTAACAATGTCTGAGGGTTGCTTTGGTCAACCTTTACTACAGTCACTGGTTGGTTAAGTTTGGCAACAGGTAATCATAATAGATGTTTACAAAAGTATTTTTTCCCTAACATATAAAAACAAACTTTTTCTTGGCTGGTTTTGACAGGAACACACCTTTTAACTGAAATTACAATATTTTCTATATTATATATTTCTTTCTAAAACTTTATNGGAACACACCTTTTAACTGAAATTACAATATTTTCTATATTATATATTTCTTTCTAAAACTTTATTACACTATTTATGCTTTAAACTTTGACATTAGGTACATCTTTTAWGTTTTCTCTTCTCATTTTTAGTCTGAAACCCCAATAAAAGCTACATTTGACTGTAGATGTATCGACTGTTGGACATTGAGGAAGTAGACTCAGTGTTGCATCATCTTTGCTCTAGTTTGGACTGTAAACAGTTCTTATTTGAGGCACATGKTTTGGTTACAAAAGCAGCTCTTTGACTGAGATATTGTATTTTTTTTTCTTTATGTTTTTGGCCTGTAGGGAGTCATCCAGCTGCGCTTCAGTAATGTTAATGAACTGCCTCCAAGCTCAGATGATTCTGGAAAGTACCTCTTTGAGATCATTCCACGTAAGCATTTAGTGAACTTTTTAAAAGAGAAGTCACTTTATTTCAGCACCATGTGTAGACAGTTTTGTAAGTTATGGAGAAACAAGAACTAGAGCACTGTTTTCTATTTTATAGTAATTGAGAAATGTGTTTTTTACATAATACCAGTTTTGAATGATTTATTGTCTGTCTGTTCAATAAACAAACTGATAATAAGCAAAAAGTTTTGAAAAACATTAGAATTTTATATTTCTTTTGATTTGAAAAAAAAACTTTTTTAGGATCGGCTGGAGACAGGGAGCGATGTTCTTATGTGTTCATGGCAAACTCCCAAAGTGAAATGGAGGATTGGGTCCGCACCCTGCGCAGAGTCATCGGTGTACCAACAAGTGGAGGTTGGTTTGTTACTGTTTCACTGTCACAACCTGCAGCTRTAAATATTGTCTCAAGGAATTAAACATAGAAAATTGGAGAATTTGGAATATGGCAAACCTTCCACACGTGAGTAGTGATTTGCATTCAAATACAAGCAAATCCAATGTGTCCTGGGTCTTACTCGAGGCTCCTCTCAGTTGGGCATGCCTGGTAAACGTCCCAATGGAGGAATCCAAGGAGCATTCTTACCAGATGTCCAAACCACCTCATCTAGCTCCTCATGATGTAGAGGAGCAGCTCTACTTGGAGTCTCTCCCAGATAACTGAACTACTTACCCTATTTCTATGAGAGAACTGTACTTCCCTGTAGATTAAACTCACTTCTACGACTTGTATCTTCTATCTCATTTTTTCAGTCACTACCCARAGTTTGTGGTCATAGGTGAGTGTAGGAACAACAACGATGGACTGACCTACACAACACTGTGGAAGCTGAAGTGATCCATCTGTCCATCTCACATTCCATTCCCCTCRAGATACTYAAACTCCTCCACTAGAGGTAGAATATCACTCCAACCTGGAGAGGGCAGTGACAGAGGACCATGATCTCCGATCTGGAGCTGCTGATCCTCATCCCACCTTCTTCACACTTTGCTAGAAACCTCTTCAGTGAGAGCTGAAGATCACTGTTTGATGACATCAACAGGACCACATCATCTGCAAATAGAAGAGACAAAATCCTGAGGCCACCAAACTAGACTCTTTGTCCTCTGTCTGTACCGAGAAATTCTGTCAGTAAATATAATTCAAGTTCTTGATTCTTCTGGTTTTAGTTGCTCTCATGAGGCCAGAAACCTTGGGGTAGTTCTGGATTCGGATCTGAGTTTTACTAAACATTTTAATAATAGTATTAAAACTAGCTTCTATCATTTCAGAAATATTGCCAAATTAAGATCAATTGTCTCATTTGCAGACACTAAATCAYTCATTCATGCTTTTATTTTTTGTCATCTTGATTACTGCAATTCTCTGTTTATTGGTCTGCCTAAAAAAAACCTCAAACGCCTACAATTAGTACAAAATACAGCAGCTAGAGTCCTCACTAAATCCCAGAAGTATGATCATATCCCTCCTGTTCTAGCTTCTCTGGTTACCTGTGGTTTTCAGGATTGATTTTAAAATTGCATTGATGGTTTTTAAATCACTGAATGGACTTGCACCATCTTATAAATTAAGATTTACTCAGAATTACKCACACCACATACACCACTGCGACCTCTGAGATCATCGGATCAGTCGCTACTTATAGTACCCAGAGTAAGACTACAGACAGAGGGTTATAGAGCCTTTTTTGTTAGGGCTCCTCTTTTATGGAATGCACTGCCACTTTATATCAGACAAGCTTCTTCATTGTCCTCTTTTAAATCTCTTTTAAAAACATTTTATTATGAGTTGGCCTTTAATTGTTGACCTTTGCATGTTTTATTTTTATTTGGTGCAATGTTTTTATGTGTTTTGTTTCTAATATGATGTGAAGCACTTTGTAACTGAGTTTTGAAAGGTGCTATACAAATAAATCTGTCTGTCTGTCTGTCTGTCTGTCTGTCTGTCTGTCTGTCTGTCTGTCTGTCTGTCTGTCTGTCTGTCTGTCTGTCTGTCTGTCTGTCTGTCTGTCTGTCTGTCTGTCTGTCTGTCTGTCTGTCTGTCTGTCTGTCTGTCTATCTATCTAAAATTTAAGAACAGAATCAGTGACAGTGGTTAGGTCTGGCAGAGTCCAACTACTACCTTGAAGAGATCTAACTTATTACCGGCAATATGAATCATAGTCCTGCTTGACTGAACGGCYCATAACTTTGGAACTCTAATCCCAGTCTCCCAGAGCAACCCCCTACTCTCAAATACCCCCCACATCATTGCYCACTCTGACCTAATGTCTCTCTCAACATGGGCAAGGAGCTTGGTTCCAGAGCATATACAGGGCGTGAAGATGAGCCCAATGGGTCCGGTACCAATACTCACACTACACCGACCCTTCTATGTACTCAGAAGTACACATAAGGGTTTGAGTGCACAGGTAACAAGCATGCAAAAATTGGGGAATTGGGACATTACAGGTTACATCATCAACTTGCGCCTCTGTGTTGTAACTATGACATCCAAAATGGCAGGACCAGCCACTGTTTTGGCATTTGTACTGCTAAAAATAATAATACAACTAAAACAAGCAATCGTTTTTAGGAGAAGAAAGCGCATGAACACCAGAATAGAAGCCTTCTATAAGTTCTTTTGATTTTATTGACAGACTAATTTATGAGCATTATTGCCACCACCAGAAGGTGCTCGATGGACATTGCCATATGTCTGCCTTTTTACTTAAAATGTCACATACAGCCATAAATTGTGAGTAATACACTTCACCAAAGTCCGCTTGGAAGCAGGTGCAGCCGAAGTGTGGATCAACAATGCAAATGGGGTGGGGTGAAAGACCACTTTGGAGAATTGTGACACCTTGCTCACTGAAACACTTCAGCGGGAACATGCATCAGAAGTACACAAGGGTGGAAGTGCAAGTATTGGGACAGGGCCTAAATCTAGTCTGTATACCTCTCAGCCTCACCTACAATCTCAGACTGCTGTCCAACCAGAGAGATGATATCCCATGTTGCAAGATCTAGCTTCATTAAATCCAGAGTCAAAATGCCAAAAACCCATCTACACCAATGACATCACGCACCAAAGTCCTGTGGCCCCTCCCGCAGGCAGTGGGCTCACAGGAAGGCTCTTAGGTGGGGTCTCAGTAACCCACATCTGTGCAAAATACATTGATGTTTTCTGTCCATATGAATATTGTGAATCACTCTTTGTTTGTCTTGTCACTTAAAACCAATCTTCCTTAGAAGACCCTACTGGAGAAATTACCCCTGATAGCATAGCTCGTAGATCATTCAAATGCCCAAACTCTACCACTRTGATAAGGTGGTGATTCACAGAAGGTGGGATTAATACATTTGATTAATATCCATTGTAGTGTAGACAGCATAGGGATGGATTGGGATCCCCATTACAAGTGAAAGGCCATGGTAGGTCATGGGTTGAAGTGTCCACAACTCTTCTGTAACAAGGCTGTGGGTTTATTATCAATGTGAAAGCTCATCAGGATATAACTGAAGTGGAGTGACAACACTGACAGAGAATACTGAAGTGTAGAAGCATCTTGATGCGATCAGTGAGAGTTATGCCAGGGATCTACTGTATGTTCTAATGGGTTATACAGGTCACAAAAAAGTCTAGCAAAAACTTTGGAGCTGGGTCATGTGGCACAATAATAACATTATTTATACAATACATTCTTGACACTGTGAGGTAAAACAGTAATAAGGTAATTCACCATTGGTGAATAATATGATTGAAATGGTCTCAGCTGAATGTTGCTTCTCTCTGGCAGTGTTTGGAAAGAGTCTCATGGACACCATAACATATGAGCAGCGTTTTGGACCTCACATGGTGCCTATTCTGGTGCAGAAGTGTGTGGAGTTTATCATCGAACAAGGGCTGGATGAGGAGGGGATCTTCCGCCTACCTGGTCAGGAAAACGCTGTCAAGCAGTTCAGAGATGCCTTTGATGCAGGAGAGAGACCCTCCTTCCCAAAGTAAGCATGTCATTATTTACAGTCTGTAAAATCACATGGACATGATCTCAGAGTTTATTTGAACCACATGATTTCACTGTGACATAACTTACAAAGTAAGTGTGGTAATCGTTACTACAGAAATTCAAAGAATTCACTGTGTAAAGCTGATCGGAACACAAATCAGTTTTTTTTTTTGTCCTGGGGCGGAACTTGGATGGAAACGTAGGAGGCTAATAAAAGACTACTGCCATAAAAGGAGATGAGTGTCAGCTTCTTCTCCAACAGAAAGCAAAGAGCTGAGAGAGAGAGACAGACAGACTGATAGATTTCTGTCTGCTGAGAGATTGGGTGATACCACATCCTGTTGTGGCAGACACTCAATAGGATGCCTTTATTACTCAACATCACAAGCTTCTGTGACAAAGCCTCGTTGGTGCCCATTTTACTCGTTTTATGTAATCTTATAGAAGTCAATTCAAAGCTTGCAAGATCAGTGCAAGTGAAATAATAGATGTTTTAACCCAAAAAAGAACATATTGGGATTTGTGTTTTCTCTTGAAATGAAAATTGCACCCCCCAAAAAATGAATGAATAAATGAATTAATTAATTAATTAATTAATTAATTAATTGATTAATTAAATATTAATTTTCTTTCCTGTGGAAGTGTAGGACAAAAGCAGAGATAAACAACTTTGCTAAAATTTGTTCAATAAGCTGAAAATGTTGTTAAATAATAAAAAAAGCAGGACAAATGTTAAAATAGGAGAATTCAAAGTAAATAGGGCAAAATGGTTAAAAAATAAAAAAGGAGAGCATTAACTGACTAAATCTAGTAAAATATTTAAATGCTGAAATGAGCCAGCCTAATAAAGAAATCAGCAAAATAACAGTAAAATCAACAAAATAAAGCAGCAAATGTAGCTAAAACTAAAGTAATCAAAACCATGGAACAAAGCTAAAAACAGCATAACAATAGCTATAAGCTAAATCCATAGATAAAAGCTAAACTTAGAAAAGCTTTAGTTGAAATCACAACATAAGAAAACAACACAGTAAGCATGAAGTATATTTTAAAAATAACAATGTTTTTCAGGAATTGAACAAATCTAAATGGGGAAAATATTCATAAAGGAAGAATAATTTTTGAAAATTRTAAAAGTTTCAGAGACCAAAAGGCATAGCACAAATCCCTTGAATCYGCTAAATGTTATGATACGTTCAGGAATGACTGAAATTTGCACAAGTTACTCAGAAGTTGTTACATTTCAACAAACATGAAATAAACTATAACCAGGAATATAATAGTGTAAATGCTGACTCAGCTTTTACTCTGTTAGACCTGTGTATTTATCACAGACCCACTTTACAAATCTACGTTCAGATATTTTTAGCTTGGAACAAAACCTAAAAATTGAATGAGATTGTCTTCAAATGGAAACAGGAACTGGGTTACTCTGAAACCCAACATGCACTAGCTGCTGTGAATGTCTGGTTAAACAAAATACCACAGTGTCCTGATGCATCTCAGTAATCCAGGTAAAAAAATCAAAAGGAAAAAAATTGTATAGGTCCTCTGGACRGGTTCTTCTTTAATGAAACGTTTCGTCTCTCYTCCAAGAGACTTCTTCAGTCTGAGAGTTTCAGGCAAAATTCAGGCTTTTGAGTCCTGCCTCCAKGTGACTGATACTCACCACAGAAAACACCACAGTCCTAACGCTGGGGAGTGGATGGTTTGTAGAACACGTTTAAACTCTAAACAAATAAAAGATGCAAGATAATAACAGACTGGAAAGAATCTGTCACAGAAAACTGAATTTGATTCATTCCAAAACGTCAACAGCTGTGTTCATGTTTTCACAGAGACACAGACGTCCACACTGTGGCATCGCTGCTTAAACTGTACCTGCGGGAGCTGCCTGAACCTGTGGTGCCCTGGTCCCAGTACCAGGACTTCCTGGACTGCACCAACCTACGGGACGCCAACAGCTCAGAGGTTTGCTCAGACTACAGTATGGAGCCAAATTACACAAAATATCTCYATATGACAGAGCTGCCTTTAGACATAAACATCTACAGGCCATAGACATGTGTTATAAAACATATCTATCGTGCACACCCTGTGACCTCCTGTGCTTGTGTCTGCTCAGGGCTGGGGAATGTTGGAGAAACAAATTGCTCTTCTGCCCAGAGTGAACTACAACCTTCTGAGTTACGTCTGTCGGTGAGTAAACCTTTAACCTCCTCAAAGTAACGGTTAAAATCACCAGCTGTAATGAGGTCAGTTTAAAMCGAGCACCTGTTAGTTCTGCCTCTTTTTTTGCCATCAGGTTTCTGTTYGAGGTGCAGAGTCACTCCAATGTGAATAAGATGAATGTGGAGAACCTGGCGACTGTGATGGGAATCAACCTGCTCAAACCTCAGATAGAGGATCCGATCACAGTGATGAAGGGTGAGAAGATCCTAAACTTATCTGTGATGTGTTCTTAGATACAAAATCATTGGCAAACAGGTTGGAAATAATCAGTCAAGGTGGAGAACTAGACAACTAGCCCAAGCTGATCCCACGAGTGCCAAGTGACTGATCTGGAGAKAATTCTTTATTTTATTTTATTTTTATGAGCTGAGGAGCACTTATCTTGGGAGAATATGTAATGTGAAAAAGTCTGTAAGAACATAAAATCCAACTACAGCTCGGTCTTTCTGTGTATCTAATTGAACAGTGAGTGTGTAATAAACCATCGGTAAGCCATCTTTTAAATTCTGAAGATAACGGGAAAGAAGTAAAAAAAAAGATGAGGGGTTTTGATGACAATCATTTCATATTTGTGTTTGTTTTGCTCCACAGCAACGCCTCAGATCCAGAAGCTGATGACTGTGATGATYAGACAGCATGAGACTCTTTTCCCTGTCTCCAAAGACGTGCTCCCCTCCTCTCCTTCAAACAAGACCGAGAGCCAGAAAAATGCTCCTCGGAGCTTCGTAGGCTGGGAGTCTGCTGAGGTATACACGGATGGCTGCAGATTACAAGCAATAAACTGGCTGATAGAAACATACAAAATCATAATTAGGAAGAATTTGATGAAAATATTGTTTTTACTGAAAGTCTCTAACTTGAACAGCTCAATGTTTTGGGAAGATTTTGTAGCTGCAAGTTAGTCAACAAGACAGATTTTGTTTTGGCGTCTGTACAACAGCAGCAACTACTTAGTTTTGGACAAACAGCCAACATGTGTTTTTAAAAGACATCTAGTTAATCTACCACCATTGAAAACTTGGAACTAAAGCAACATTTAGAGCCTGATTTCAACACAGTTGCTTACATACTGTGACATAACAGTAAAACAGCACAGAATGCTTCAGAATAACAACTGATTAGTAGATAAAGAATCAATAAATCTTTTATCTTAATCAGTGATGACATGCAATCATTTCACATTACAAAAACAGGCCTAATTTACTGTTCAATTGAAAGATGTCTGATAACAAATATGGACTCATTCAGACTTTATCTGATTATTGAGCTGTAGCTAGCCTGGCCCTTGCCTTCCTATGCAGTTCCACTCAGTTTCTCTTCACTGCTCCGTCTGGGATTTCTCCCACAGACAAGGATTTCTTCAGGAGAGTTTTCGTCCGGGCCAATCAGAGAACAGAACGTCAATTTTCTGCGCAGTGTCTGCTTGTAGTTTATTTTACCTGGACCAATCAGCAAACAGAAGGGGGAGTTCTGAACAACATTGACTTTCTGTGCAGTGTCTGCTAGTTA